TAAAAAATCAATTAACTAAAAGTGTTTGCATTAATACTAGTAATTAAAAACTAATCAATTTGTTTACGCAAAATAGTGTCAACGCCAAATCAATTTTCTATTGCCAGGTAGGAGTATGAATAGAAGGAACAAATTCATTCACAACTACAGATATTAACTTTTGTATTCTCCACGTTTTGACCACCACCATGACATGCAAGTATTAATACAGCATGTAAACTGCCTGACTTTATTTCATACCAGAATTTGTGAAATACACTAAGCATGCTAAGTTCAGCAAAATAAAAGTACTGTTTCTGCTTTGCTTTAAATAAAATGCAAGGGATTAAGCAAATCTGACATGTCATAATATTTTTTATATTTAAAAATAATTGATTTTAAAACTTGGATATTTTAAGTATTGTGCTCTCAAGAAAGTAATTTCATTTGAACTTGAATTTAAACTTGTACGTGACAATTTATTTTACTTTAAATATTATCATAAGAAGTATTACGTTTTATAATTGATATATAATGTGATACTCACAAGATTAACTCACTGAAAAATATTTATGGTATTTTTAACTCATTTGAAGCTTTACAGAACATGGAAGAGAAGCAACTCTGGCATTTTATAATGTTCAATGATCAATTTCAAACCTGTATTGAGTACGGTGTAATGTGCAATGTACATAACTTTCTGCGGAAATTAGTATCATTCGAAATTTAATGTATACATGTTTTCAAAATAATAATTTTCCTTGTAATTTGACTAAGAGGATGAATGCACACGCTGTGGTTGGAATCTTTTTATGTCGCTTCTGTTGCCTTTAAATCTTAACCTAAATTGGCATTTATATACTAGTATTTACTACAGATGTCTATTAATTTGGCACCAGATTTTAATTTCAATAAACTTAAGCTTACATCTTATTTCCTCACTGTTTTCAAAATTCAGAGAATTAATAACACTTATCGCTCCTTATTAAACAGTATGCATGAGAGGCAGAGCTAATTCAGAGAATTCGTGTCCCCCGCTGAGGGAAAAAGTCGGATCCCCCTGACAGAATTTGTAGAATTATTAAATGTATACATGTATACTGAATATTCTTTGCTTTTTTATTTATGCTTCCATGTATATGTCAATATGCATATAAAGATTTTATTTTTATTCTTTATTATGTGTATAGAAGATTCTTTTTATATGGAATATTTATCACACTGTAATGATGACTTTACTACCGGATACCTTTCAGACCAGATGTTTCCGTAGAATACTCAAGATATCCTGGCCAAACAAGATCACCAATTAGGAGTGTATGAAAGAACACACACAGCTGCTATATCTGAACAGATTAAAGAAAGACGATGGAAATGGATTGGCCATTCGGTGAGGATGAAACCGTCAGAGATACCAAGGGTAGCCCTAAGATGGACTTCACCAGGAAAGAGAAACAGAGGGCGACCAAAAAGACATGGCGACGGTCGGTTGAAAAGGAAATGAGTGTTCAGGGGTGGACGTGGGGCACTGTACAGACAACAGCAGCAGACAGACAGAGATGGAGGTCCTCGATGCAGGCCTTATGTGCTCAAAGCACGAAGAGGACTAAGTAAGTAATGATGACTTTATGAGTTTGTACAAGCCAGACCTTATAAATTTTTCATTTCACATGCTGAATACTATCATTTAGATAAAAAAAAAAGTATTTCAAAAAAAGGAAAGAAAATGGATTCGAACCCGGGTCCTCTCACATGTGAAGCGAGATACATCCCACTAGAACATGAAATTGCTTTACATTGACCAGAGTTATATGCAAACATGAAGTCACATATGAAATCACATACATGTATATATATATTCACGTTCGATATTGTCAAAATTTTACACAATGTATGGTGTCTAATTAAACCTTTATTAAACAATTCTAAGGTAAAAGACTATAAAGTCCACTGAAAATCTGTTTTATACGTAATAACTCTCCTCATGCCTGTGTGCTAGAAAATAGCGACATGTAATACAATAAATACTAATAAAACAAACGGGGCGGGACACTTTGAGAGGGATGAGAGAGGTCCTAGGGAGTTTTGGTATAAAATTACATTGTAAAAGCTCAAAATCCTCTTGAAATATCGCCCGGAAAGGAGAGTGTAATACACAGACATAAGGTATAAATTTACGACCTTGAACTTTAACTCTTTGACCTCAAAATAAATAGGGGTTTTTCATAGGCCACAAGGAGTTGTTATGTAAAATTTCATTGCAAAAGCTCAAAGGGTTCTTGAGATATCACGCGGAAACGACAGTGTTACAACAGAGAGAATTGCAAATTTATGACATTGAAGTTTGACCTTTTGACCTCAAAATCATTTGGTTTCTTTATGAGTCCATAGAGAGTTGATATGCAAAATTTCATTGCAAAAACTCAATGGGTTCTTGAGATATCGTGTGGAAACGAAAGCGTTACAGACAGACAGTATTACGGAGGGACTGACGGACGGACGGATGTCTAGACAGACGGACGGACATGAGTAACAACAATATGTACACGAACTTTCTTTAGAAAGTGCGGGTATAAATATCATTTACTTGTTTAATAGATTTTTAGCTTGACAAGAAATGGTGTTTCGATGTTGAGTAGATAAGGTACATGTAACTCAAACTGTACAGGTACTCTTGGGAAAATGTTGAGAAAATGAAAGCTCAATCACATATCTTTTCATAATGTCTGTGACGTCGAAGATTTTGCTGCTCCGTGACTAATCGATTTGTCCTGATAAATCACTCTAAATTGATACCAATTTACAACATTTTGATATGAAATTGTGAAGACCATATAAGTAAAGATTCTTCTATATTATGTGTGACATTTTGCTAGATTATTTCGTCAATTTTTTTTCTGTGCAACAAGTCCGCGTAATTTTTGAACGGCCCTCGTATTGCAATAGAGAAATATACATTCCACAGGTATATGTACTAAAAGAAATTAACAAGATGTACTTTTATAGTGTTTATCATAGAGAAAACAATCGGGAATGGAATAATAAAAAATATCTACAATTTCTTAGAATAATGAAAGCAGACAGTATTTTCACATCCCGGTCAGCCTTTCCTCTGTCGTTCGAAGCAGAAACAGATGCAAAAGTTTAACACGACGCCGAAGCATATATTTTGTTTCTGTCGAAAGTTCTTATTCTATAGTTTTAAAAAATGCTGCTAGAATCGTATGGTTTTTGGGAATTAACGTTTTTCCCCATCTTATGTACATAATTAATATAAAAATTTTGGTGACGTTTCATCTGAAAGTGTTGAATAATATTTTCTGTATGGTAGGATTTTAGAGATTATTTTACATAAGTATTATGACCATAAGAAATTAATTATCCCCGGCGAAGTGTTGAACTTTTCATTTTTATTTCTATTCATAAACGTCACATGATGTGTCATGGATGAGTGCGTCCTCAAGTGCAAGTCCCATTGAAGTCCATTGAATAGATACTGATGGTCATAGTTTTATCCTTGACTTTTCCGATTTATTAGTGTAAAAGTAAATTCGCCGAAGAAGAAGGTATGGTTTCCATACAAATTTTGCCCTGTGATTTTCTAAAAAAAAAATTAAACTGGTGTAAAGGTTAAAAACGCATGCTAAATGGTAAAACCGATAACATTCCAGACTGATGTCACTCATGTATGTTTCAAAATATCAGCCTAAGATTTTCAGTTTGGAAGACAGGAAGTTCAATTTCATTTCAAAAATTCCTCCCTAATTGTCTCCCTTGGTGGTGTCCAAAAGTTCTCAGAACGAAAAAAAAAATATGTTGATGTTGCTTTGATCTGTGTGCTGACTTAACATACCTACGTAAGGATCAACTCCTTATTTCGCAATTAGAGCAAACGCTCAAATCTCTGCGCCAAGAGGGCCGGATTCTCACTGACTATTTCAGGAGTTAGGAGGTTCATTTTTTTTAATTTGTTGCCTCTAAATACATAGTTGCAGTTTAGTTTGTTTAGTTTTCCTCATTTCTAAGTTGAATTGTAATGGGAATATACTTTTCAACTTTTTTCTATTATGAGTTGCAACTGATATGTTATTCTGATTCTGAAAGTGATACGTATATCTAGACAAATTTCATTGTACTTTGAGTTAACCCTACCTTATTATGATAAAGAGCGTCTCATTCTTCTGTACAAATAATTACTGGTTGGGCTATAACTTGTACTGGTATCCTACACTGTATCTCTATGGAGTGCAAATTATCATTGTCTCAGTTGGCTGCTCTGACACCAGTGGTGACTAATTTTAAATAATTCAAATTTTGTCAATACAATTCATTAATTATGCTTTCTTGTCCTCAACCAATCTAATTCAAGAAGATGATTTCCAATCATTCATAACAAGTAGATATGAAACGAAAATGTTTGATTTTGAATTGTACAACCAAATTAAATAGAAGTTAAGATTCGATGGGATCGACATACAGAAAACCCAATCATTTTTCCAGCCATAATGCCACATTAAACAGATCTACTAAGCTGCAAAAAGTACCTACTACCAAAGTTCCGGGAAAGTACCACCGTGACCGAAGTAAATCAATCACATGCATAGGATCAGAAAATCAGATATTATCTGCATCCATCAATGTACATGTGATTTAATCAATATTTTTTTTATGAAATTAAGATAGTCTTGTTTGTTTGTTTTGATTACTTATTAAAACAAGATGTGTTTGTGAAACACTATGCACCCGGCGGCAAAAAAGTTCAAAAAAGTTATTTTTAGCATATAGTTCACAATAAAGGTCAAAAGGTCATTGATCTTGGTGTCATTTGAAAGAAGTTTATTAGTCAAGTACGCATACCGAATATGAAGTCTCTATCTCTTGTGGTTCAAAAATTATGGCGAAGGTTAAAGTTAACAACAGACAGACAGACAAACAGATATACAGACAAACAGACAGGACAAAATTAATATACGTCTTGGATATATCGATCCCGGCGCATAAAAATTATTCACAATAAATCTTTAGGACAGTTCCTGTCTTTTTATGTATCTGTATAGATATACTGTATTTTTCCACCGTGTTCCAATCCAGAGAAGATGAGTTTTGTCATCATAACTCAGGCTCCTTTGCAAATTGATCTCCTGTTGTTTTGACGGTAGAAATGTCAGGAAACGACCGTCCTTGTCGATCACCTGAACTGTTTGACCATCACATACCAGGATATGTGAGACCGCATCTGTACAGATTCGGAATAGTCTTAACCCTGACTCTGATGGGCGTCCTGTATAGGAAAAGCGATGACCTCCATCACGCTTTGTGACCACCACCCCTTGAAAATAGTCAGATACAATAACGTCACCATTGCAGTTTTCTGTGATATAGATAGGTAATCCATAGAGTTTCTGACCAGAGTTATAAAGTATTGTTTGCATCTCTTGTACTTCATCGTTGTAACGGTTTACCTTGCTTGTAAATGTGTCAGTATTATACATCCCAACCAGTAAATTGCCATCGGAGGGGTTGCAGTAAATACAATTTGATCTCCAAGGTTCTTTTTTCTTCATCAATGAAATTTTTTTTCCGTTATCCACTGATATCTTGTTAATGTTATATTCCCAGTCTATATAGATAAGATCACCTCTAATGTCCACTGTGTGTGCTCCATAATTATTAATATCTGTGAGAAAATCTAGTATGTCACCTGCTCTGTTCATAAAAATAAGACTGTTTATATCACTTATCCAGACACGATCTGGAGTCACACAGGAAACGTGATTTACACGAATAACGTTTGGCACTTCGACATACCTGTGTATCATGGGTGAAGACATCAGTTCCAACAGATTTTCACTTTTGACATGTCTTTTTCCTATCTCTATGATTTGAAAATCACTCAGTAACTTAATTACATCTCCCATGTTCGTTTTCTTATTCAATGATAAAAAAGTGTGTAGTGAAAGATTAGGAATGGCTTTTCCATTTGGCACTGGGGTTTTCTTATTAAATAATATGAATTTGACAGGCTTAGATGTTAAGATATGGGAAATGTTTTCATAATTCTCGAGAAAAGCAATGCGTTCATTCATTTTTCTGACAAGTTGTTGTAATCTCTGAATAAGAATTTGTTTGTATCTTATTTTAACATCACATGCCACAGTGTCAATCTGGTCCTTTAGTCTGTGAGCTTTTGTTGCCATTTCTGATAGATGATTGCGTAGTTTTGCTGGAAACATTTTTAAATCAGTTTTTATCCCTGCCAGAAGAGACCAGTTGCGGTAGAGATCCACGCTTCTGATATAGTCAATTTTTTTCCTGTATTGTTGAGGATTAGTTATATAAGTTGTTTTGATGTCTTCTTGTTGTGGAATATAATCATATCTCTCTCGGTAAATTACAACATCATCATACATAGTATCTAAATCAATAACATGCCTCTCTTTACACTGTAAACAGAGATTTTGTTTACACGTGTTACAGTAGAATTCCGTGTCCCCTTGACATTGAGAACAATTTCGGACTTTACATTGTGTGCTGAATCTTAGCGCATCCATGAGTGGAAGGTACAACTGTATGAATCTGAAGTATAAATATAAATTTTATTAAATTTTTGTTAAATTCATCCATAAAATAAAAGGAAAACTACAGTTAAACTATCACTAAATAACCCTTGAAATTTTGGTCCTTCTCAGTAGCTTTATGTGTGTTTGTGCATCTTAGATAATTGAAAAACGCATACCAGTTTGATGGTGTGGGATTTTTTTTTCTAGAAAAGGTAAAAAGCTGATTAGAAAACGAGAAAAAACTAGCACCTGGTGTTTCCTCTCATTCTGTCATTATGACACAGACTCTTAAGTTGCTAAAATTCACATAAAGAGTATTTCTGACGATGTGGCACTAATATATTGAGAATCAAACAACACTTTTTAATACAATTAATGTAAAACGAAAATAATAAACATTTGATTGTAAGACATTTGATTTTTTTGCTATAATATTAACCTACTGATATAATGGGGGGGGGGGGTAAGAACAATATACAGTCTAGTAAATCCTGGAATCGATTACCCCGATAAACATTTTAGGATTGATGGAGATTAAGAATCTTACAGAAAACCTATGCATCGAAAAAGTTGATTTAATAACAAAAGGTATTGGTTATTCATACTTTTGAATTTGTAAAGATGGAAATGCTTAAAAATCATATAACCGCAAAGCAAATGCATGACTTTTTATAAGATTATAAAGATTTATAAGATACCAGATTTTGTAACATATTTATTGATAAAAATGATAACGATTTTATCGATTAACATTTGTTCAAAGTACACGGTATATTTTCAAAAATAGAGGTCTACGAAGTTTTCTAACAATACTAGTGAAATTTGATCGTGTCGTCACCTCAACGAGTCATGCATGGCGTAACTTCAATTAAATAAATGCACAATGAGAAGTATCAATAGTATTGTAATGAAGAATATGGGGATAACAAACAATATTCAATATCAAAGTCCATAAAGCAATAAAACATAATAGCAGAGCAAACACGGACCTCTAAAACATCAGCGGTGGGCTCAGGTGTCATGGAGGAGTGAGCATCCCCTGTCAACCGGTCACATCCGCCGTGTGTTGCATGCTGTGATCAGGAAATAATGGAAAATCCGTCGTCAATTCGGTGTATAAATAATGGACTATTTATTACTATAAAGACGTCAGTCAGCATTTGACTCAATGATGAATTGTATTTGCTGTCAATGTCATTGTATCAATATTGTGTCAATAGAACTTACGAAATGATGATTTTAAATGAGACTGCTGATTCTCTTGTTTCATCAACTTGTTTGTCAATAATTTACCTTATTTTAGAAATTGTTTATACGTAGAGAATGCTCTTGCGTATCGAATCAATTGAGATACTTTGTATATAAAACTCCGTATGTAGGTGATGAAGGTGCATATATGCATAAGTAAGGGAAGTTGACGATAGAAATGTTCAATAATGTCATCACGTGTATCATAGAGTTTGGTTGTTGGATAACCATAAACGTCTTTTTAAGTAAAATATCTAAGTATGAAACATATGTCTCAGACTTCGTAGTATCTTTTACCTTACCAGGATATATTGTATCGACATAGGAATAGAAATTACCATTATCAATTGACAGTACGTCGTCGATATATCTAAATGTCGAATTGAAGTCCACAGGAAGTGTTTTCTTCTTATCATGCATAAGATTTTCTATAAATTCTGCTTCATATGAATACAAAAATAGGTCTGCTAATAATGCAGCGGTACAAATGAGGATTCCAATAGATTATCGGAAGACCTGGTCTCCAAAAACCACATAGATATTGTCAATCAGAAGCTCAAGCAATCTATTTGATGTAAAGTTCAGAGTACAATGTACTTGTAGTTGTAATCAGACTGTGTTTTAACAAAAATAATTTGCAAATGACCAAAGAAAGGTTAATAAATCTACGAGTTCAGCTTTTATGGAAAAAGCAGCTGTCAATGAAATCAAAAAGCATGGCCTTTAATATAATATGGGGAATAGTTGTGTACATGTATAAAGTTTAAAAGTCGTAAGTTTTTAAGCTGTTAAGTTTGGTAAATTCATGTGATTTCAATTTGTCCAAAAGTTCTTTGGAATTTTTCAGTATATCAACTGATTCAAACCATTTCTCCAATGAATTGCACAGTAGTCTTGAAGGTTTTCCTTCACTACTATCAATATCTTAGTGAGGAGTAAAGAAAATGGCTCGGTTGAACATTTACTGAAACCTGCGGTGTATCTTTGTTTGGAAGGATTCTTCTTCGTAGGTTTTGGAATCCAATTAAATTTATGGAATCTGCTGGAATGGAGATTTTTTTTTATGAAACATATTGAGATAATGAACAGTATCCAAGATCAAAAGTCCATTAAACAATACAAAAATCTAGCAGAGCAAACATAGAACTCCAAAACATCGGAAAGGAATCAGGTGCCATGGAGGAATGGGCATTCACTGCCGACCGGTCATATCATTGTTATCCATTCGTTATTATGATCAGGAAATAGCGGTAAAATCCATCGTCAATTCTGTATATAATTAATGGACTAACAAGAAGTATGAAAAACGTCAGTCAGCATTTGACTTAATGATAAATTGTATTTGCTGACAAGGTCTCTGTATTGACAATAGAACTTAAGAAATGATGACTTTAAAAGAGCTGGGGCTGCTGAAATTCTTGTTTCATCAACTTAAATAATTTACCTCGTTTTAGAAATAGAATCAGCTGATATAAGCTCTGCCTGCAGGTAATAAAAATATCGTTGCATAAGAAAGGGAAGTTGAAGATGGAAAAGTAAAAGTCACCACGTTTATCATAGAGCTTGGTTGTAAGATTATTAATCGTCTTTTTAAAGTAAAATATTCATATATGAAACTGATGTGTCAAAGTCTGTGGGACCTTTTATCTTAAGCTTATCAGGATATATCTTTTGATACCTTGTTCAACTTACATGTTAATTTGAATTTGCTCTTGTATTTCTTAAAGATAGTCATTTTTGCGTGGAGGTCCACACAGAAAATATATATGCAAGGAAAACCGGATGCCATGGGCAAACGTCAGGCTACGCATGGTAGAATGCTAGAGAGTTCCCACCTAAGACAACTTTTTCGTAAAATGATTCGCCATATTCATTTTAGGATATTTCATTCATTGGCTAATCTCGGTTTTAAATCAGTCTATCGTATTTACATTATACATTGGCAGATGCTAGCTTTTCTCATACATAATAATTATACTTTTATATATGCAAACTAAACATTAAGGATGAAGTTTACTCAGGTTTCAGAAAACAGACATTATAATATGTTAAATCACAAATTGTTCTACATACGTAAATGAATAAAATAATCAAGTTTTAACTCAATATTTTAAATATGGAAAATAAATATTTTTTATTGGATGTAAATAAACAGCTACAAAAATCATTGTATGGTAATGCAGAGGAAAATTGGGCGATTTTTTTTTATTTCCGTCAAAAATATATAATGTGTATAATCTCATAAATTATTTCAAATAATTGAATGCTATGAAATAAAGAAATTCAAAAATATGAACAAGCACTATTCCAGGCAATGTATTCAATAATTTGATCAACAGCCCAATATAATATAATTACCATGAGAATGAGGACAACAAGTGTAACCTGAGGCTATAAATAATTTAGATTTCTTATCATTCAGATTTTTTTTGATATTCCATTAATAGTGGGGGGAAATATAATGTGACAGAGGAAATTCGGACTGTAATGATTATTATGTTTATGGCCCTCACTCTAATCGTTTCTTTATATGAAGCAAAGCTGTTCGGTAATAATACCGGGTATTTCAATACTCAATGAGTTGTGTTGTTTGTAATATTTAGTGAATTTAAAAAAATTGCCATAGTGTGAGAAATTCAGGTATTTTCCGAGATATACTCAGAGGCCACTAGCATGAAGGTAATTACCTAGAAATTTGAACCAGAAATTTAACACAAGAATCATAGTTGTACAATTGTGCAATCGGTGAATTTTTTGTTCTTATCGATGGAATTTTTAGTCATCTGAGTAAAGGTAAACCTTAATGCTATAGAAAAAAGGAATTATTTCAAAAAGTGGGAAGAACTTGCAGTATATAAAAAACTAAAAAACTTAAACTGACAAAAGGCCGATGGGCTACATTGCTCACCTGAGCATATGGGCTAGTTCAAAGACACGAATTAGCTCAGTATTGAATAGTTTACTTGTTGGGGGAGGGGATTTTTTTATTACTTGAGAATGTCACTATATTAATAACGTATACATGTATAATTTTACTAAATTTGAGAAGAATTAAGAGTTTAAAAGATTTTTCCTTTATATTTTATGTAAAGGTTTGATTGCCTATCATATGCACGGTCCAACGTAACCCATGGGTTACAACATTTTGTGTGTGAACAAACTTAACTCTATCTTCGGATGTTACCTTATTGATATCACCAATCATATCTTTGCTGAAGAAGACTTTTTAAAGATTTTTCCTATGTATTCCCATGTAAAACTTTAATCAACCATCAACCCACCGGGGGTCTTGTTTTGAACAAACCTGAATCTACACTACCTGAGGATGCGTCCACGTTAGTTTCATCTTTACAGGCCCAATGGTTTTGGATAAAAAAAATTTTTAAATATTTTCCTATATATATATATATATATATATAAATGTATTCCTTTGTAAAACTTTAATTACCCATTGTGACCATACCCTAACCCATCATTTGAACAAACTTGAATCTACTCCATCTGATGTTGCTTCCACATGAGTTTAATTTTTACTGGTCCAATGATTCTTGAGGAGGTTTTTTTTAAATGTCCTATTTAATATTCTAATGTTAAACTTTGAC